GGCAAAAAAAAAAATATGAACAAAAATTGATATTATATTGATTGTATCAGGATTTGGATTGAATAGAGCGATAGACAACAACAACAAAAACAGATAGAAAATCTTAACAGAAAAAAATAGGTGTTAAGACTATAGTGAAACTAACAAAGAAAAAAAATCACAGATTGTTATCTGTTATCATAGTTTGAAGAGGAAGGGTGTTCATTTTTTTTCTCCCAGTAAAATAATCGAGTAAAAATTCAATGTGTGTTTTGCAATATTTTCAAGGCTTTTTGTTCAAACATCCCAAATAAATCCAATGAAACAATATTCTTTTCCAAATGGATAACATGGTGTGTAAGAATAACATTCGTTTTCACTCATATCCGATGAAAGCGAACTCTAGCGGACTAACAGCAACTTTGTTTCGAATGAAAAAAAACAAAATGAAAGAAATGAGAGTGAAAAAAAAATATCTAATAACATAAAAAAGTAAAACACTGACTGGCTGGCTGGCTGGCTGGCTGAGACGAAACACTTTTTTCTATTTCAATGCGCATGCTCGAAAAATGGATGGCTTGCATTTTTTATTTATAAGGATCTTTTGATTTTTACATAAACAAATGGCTGGCTTGCATTGGACTTGGCCTTATGACTAAGCTAGACTTCGTCTACTTAGTAGACGAAGCCAATGGCCAATGGCTTGCAATGCTAGTCCAAAATAAATGAACATTTTCGCGCCGTTTCAGAATTCCCATTTGGTTTACATTATGGAACCATATATATACACAGATATTAAACACATTTTTATTTCGTTTGTTCAATTCAATGTTGTTGTTTTTTTTCTTCACAAACCTAAAATGAAAAAAAAAATATAGTTTATTTTCGTAAATTTTTCATTTTGGTGTATATACAACGATTTCGTTTATGATTCTGAACAACAACAACAACAACAATGAAATTGGGGCCAAAATTTCTGAATTTTTTCTTTTCATTTTCTATTGGCCATCACCATTTTCTATTGGCCATCGAATTGTTCGAATCGTTTTTGATGTTCCGTTTTATCATGAAAATTCAGTCTTCATCTTTTTTTCCAGCAGTTTATTTGGTAGCCACAAAGATTCATCCTTAAATAAATAATAATCCCACCATGTCTATCTATCTGTATGTATGATGTGTAAAATAATAAAATAATAATCTAAATTTTATTTTACAATTTTTTCACACTCCCTCTCATCTTCATCTTTTTTTTCGGCGCCTAATATCCGACGAAACGACGATAGAAAAGAAATGAAATTTTCAGTTCCGAAATGAAATGAAAAACATTAGAAAATGGTTTGAAAAAAAATTGATAATATTACCAGCGGGCTTGAATTTCATTTTTTTCAAAATATTTATTCTTCGAGTTTTGTTCAATCATTTCTTATTTCAAATAAAATTTGGTCAGTAGGAAAAAAAAGAAGAAACAACCAACCAAAAGCATGATTGTTTCAACAAATTTTATTATCCTGTGAGAACAAAAAATGATTCTTAATGATAATCATCAGGAATTTGACATTCATATGATGATAACTTTCTAACCAAAAAAATATTTATTCATTTCAAATTTTTAAAATTTCCCAAAACTAACGATGATCAGTCCCCATGAAAATAAACAATCATCAAACTTTGATGCAATAATCATTCATGTGTGTGTTTTATCGTACCGTTGTTCATTTGTTCAGTAAATGTTTTTCTGTTTGTTTGTCTATATGTTTAAAACAAACAAACAAAACGAAAACATATAATCATCGACTGACTGGGAATATTCTTTTTTTTTCTGCTGTCGTCATTTTTATATAATGACGGTACGACGATTCTATAGGATTCTCTCTTGGTAAATCAACAACAACAACAACAACAAAAACACATTTGGAACCATCAACATCAATTATAATAACAATGAATAATTTTTTAAAACATTTTGAAAACTTATTTCCAGCATCTTTTTTTTCATAAACGTAGACCTTATTATTATTTAGATTTTGCCAAAAAAAAAACAGTGAATGAAATGAAATATACTAAATGTAATGAGGGGAAGGAAATTTTTGTTTTTGCAAAAAAAAAGTTTTGAAAAAAATATCTCAAAAAAATGAAAAACTTTAATGTTTTTTTTTGTTGAAAATACATAAATGATGTTTCCAGCCATATATTGCGATAGGTTCATCGTTTCAAGTCAATTTTTTTTAACTTTTCAAGTTTGTTTTTTTTTGTTGCTTTCTCGAGTCCAGTTCCGATATATTATTCACGCCGTTTTTTTCTGTTTTTGTTTGAAACAAAACCGGACAAGGGCAACAAACATTATTTGATAAAAAAAATGGTGAAAAATTTCAGATGAAAATAATGTGCAATTTCCCTTTTTTCTCTCGAATGAAATTAAATAATCAGAATAAACTTTACTTGGAACAACCAACAACAACAAACACAGTGGAATATATTGAAGCAGAAGAATAATCAGAATTCAACCCGGTCACCAAACCAAACCAGAAAATGTTTGGACTTTTTCACATGAAAATTCTATTGATGTTTTTTTTTAGTTATTCTTCACCACGTTTTCAATTGCAAATAAAACTATTTTTGTTTCAACAAAAGCAAATTGTTGTTGTTGTTGTTAGCCCTATAGTCTATTTGTTTTCAACAACAACAACAACAACAATAAAAATGAAATGAAAAAAAAAATTTTATATTTGAACAAGTGATACACAAATGATGATGAATATGCTGTTTTTCTTGTTGAGAATTTTTAGTTGTTGTTTTTTTTATATTCTTGTTGTATTCAGCAATGCAGAAAAAACATTGATCGATGTAAAATTCTTCTGGTAAGATGATGATGATGATGATGATGATTCGATAATTAGAGTGTAATGTTATGGTCACTTCAAACAAAATGATTATCATCATTGTTTGCTTTTTTGGACCATTATTCATAACATCATCATAGTTATCACATAAAGTCAATTTGTTCACTGTGTTTTCATCATCGTCATAATGATAATAATGATCTTTGTCGATCCATAATAAGTATGTGTATGTGTGTGTGTTTGAATAAAATCAAGATTCTTGATGATTTTCAACAATGAATGAATGAATGAATGTCGAGTATGTTTTGGTACAATTGGCTATTTCCTTCAGCCAGAAACAAAAAACATACATAGTTGCTATACAAAGATTATATCAACAGAAAAACAAACGGATTTCTTTTTCTGTTTCACACAAGTAGAAAACATGGCCTTTTTTCCTATTCATTTTTATCTTGATGAAAAAAAACAAAATTTTCTGTTCCAGTTAATGAAATGCCTAATGACAATGATGATGATGATGATTCTATCTTGATTCTTTTTGTTGTTGTTGTTGTTGTTCCATTTTCTTTTTCTGTTTCTTTTTCATGACTGATGATGATGATGAGTTTTTTCACAACAACCTAATCTACACGATTTGTTGTTGTTGTTGTTGTTGTGTAATTATTTTTAAATGATAATTATTAAACAGAAAAAAACAAAAATAAAAATGTTTAAATGACCTGTTCGTTGCTATTCTAACAATAATAATTTGTCGCCTTTTTTTTGGTTTGTTTTACCTGCATTATGAAATCAATGGAATACACAAAACAAATGCAAATTCATTGTCAAATTGTTTGTTCGATGTATCCATTATTATCTCTATTATGCGCCAAATCGGTAAAGAAGAAAGAAATTTTCTGCTCATTATTCATTCATTTCATTTACGATGTAATCTTTTTATATTACATACACAAGATACATATGCAAAAATTAGATAGATACAATAGTTGGATAGATAGATAGATAATCCATCTTTAATTAAAAGTAAACATCAGTTTTTGGGTAATCATTATCTTCATTATCATATAGATAAACAAAAGAAAAAAGTGATTGACATAATACTTGATTGATGAAATTTCAGAAAAATTTATTCAACAAAAACAACATCAGAAAATGCATCAGATCAGAAGTAGAAAAGAAAAGAAAATCTTTTTCGTTTTTTCTTGTGAATAACAAATCATTATCATTTGAATATTCAATAATGAAATGAATATAATTTCCATTCAGCTGGATTTTGTTTTGTATACTATCAAACGAAACTGACTAACTAAATTCAAGTTGATCATATGTGTCATTCATGATGAATTTATTCATATTTTTTTTCACCCATTTCTCCCCAAAAGTTTATTTCTTTTGGTTTCTTAATGGATCAAACCCAAACCGAACATGAATACATGATATCGGTAACCATGTGTCTCATTCCAGAAACAAAAAAAACATTATTATTATGTTTCATCAAAGATATTAAAAAAAACAACATATAATTAATATCAAATTAGAGAAATACTAAACCACAGAATTAGTAACAAAAGAAAGAATACTCATCATTGTCATGTGACATGGATGAAACCAACAACACCCCGTTTTGTTTTTATTTCCAACTGATGATGATATCGTTGAAACAGTATAGAATGAAACAACAAACAGCCACCTGGTTTCAGGAATAATTCAAATTTACCGTTTTTTTTTTCTCTCTCTCTCTCTCTCTCTCTCTCTCTCCGGAAAAGAAAAACGATTTCACTTATATAATAATAATAACTATTGAAATGATAATGATGATGATAATTTTCATGGTTTTTCCCGTATTTGAAACGGTAAATTTATATATTCATGAGAATATAATTCATTCACAGTTATTTATCTATAATTTTATCATACTTTTTTTTGGGGGAATCCTATTCTATACAAATGGATAATCATTATGATTATTATTATGATTAGTTCCTGGATCAATCAATCCATTACAGTTTTTTTTTGGTTTAAAACGAAAATCATTTACATTGAACCGATCGAACTCTTTACACAGAATGAGAATATTTTTTTTCACCCTTTTTTTCCGATAATCAAATGTCAATATCTAAATAATCTATTTTTTCTTTCCCCTCCATATTACCTTTTTCTCAATCAATCTCCATTTAGATTGCCATTTTATCGACAATAATGTGATGTACAGAAATTCTCATCAAAATCATCAACAACATCAACAACAACAACATAATCATCGAATAAGATCCATCTCAAATTATCTTACATCAAATATTATTTCATCAAATTCTTTATTGTATAATAATAAATATTCTGCCTCTTTTCCATCATCATCATCATCGTCCATAGTAACGGCATTATCCTCATCATCATCATCATCATCAACAACAACATCAACAAAAACAATTGATGATATTGTTGATATTAGTAATAGTGGTGGTGGTGGCGTTGTTGGTGGTGGTAGTAAAGATGCACCAGAATTTATAAGCCAACTATCAAATCAAACAATTGCATTAGGTCGTGATGTTGTATTTGAATGTACAGTCGATCATTTAGGTTCTTATAAGGTTTGTTCATTACATTATTTATTTATTTTTATTTTCATTTCTTTTTTTTTGAAATTTAAAATTTTTTATTTTTATTTCCCAAAGAAAACCAAACAAATTCATTCAATTTCTTTCGTATTTCTTCTTCTTCTTCATCATCATCATCTCATTATTTATTTTAGTTTATTTCTTTTCAAGAAAATTCTTTCCTTAGAATTTTATCCAATTCATTTTCATTGGTTGGAAATTTTTTTTGTTTTTTGTTTTTGTTTTTTTTTTGATTCCATTTCCATTAAAATTTTGTTTTAAAATTTATTTTTTTAACTAGAAAAACATACATCTAACATCATATGAAAATGTTCGAGACTTTTCCAAAGTTTCTCTCTCTCTCTCTCTCACACTATTCTCACACTTACACAAACACACATTAATTGACGTTGGACTTTTATTTATTCAAATTTTATTTTCTTCAACTCTTTCTCCCTCTCTCTCTCTCTCTCTTCCTTAAATGTCTCGACCAAACAAAATGCTGCTACTGTAATGACAACAACAACAACAACAAAATAATGATTCTCTAGAATATCATTAATTCATTACTTTCAAAACAGTAAACAAGTCTGCAGAAAAAAGTGGGTGATGGAGAAATCATATTCGTCATTCATTCATTTTTTTTCACTTCGAACCGTTTTTTGATTTCATAAAATTCAATAATTTTTTTCAGAAAAATTCTCTATGACCAAAGTTAGAGTTGTCATATTTAATTTGAAATTTGAAATGAGATAATCTTGTTTCGCAGTGTTTGTTTGCTAAGCAGTTTTCATTTTCTTTTCTTTTTTTTCATACATTCAGGGATGAATTATTTCGTATTCGAAACACATTGCCAGATAAAAACGAGGAAATCTCAATAAAAAACTTGTGTCAAGAGAAAAAACTTTATTAAAAAAACAAAAAACCCAAAAATATTAAAATGAAGAGTTTTTTTATTTTATTTGCATCGATAATGATTGATACATTTGGCATCACCAAAAGAATGAATAATTTATCATCAAAATTTTCTGCAAATTCATCTTCCTGCGAATACACTTGAATGAATGATGAATTTTCTTATGAATTTTCAATGATGAATTATATAGTGAGAGAGAGAGATTCCCGTTTGGTTGATCCGTTCGAGAGTAAAGTAAAACGAAAAACGAATCCCTTTACGGTTTTTTTTGTTGGTTGACCAAAAAAATATTATAATTTTATTCCAAAAGAAATGGATCAGTTTCAAGATGATGTCAAATCTACGTTTGTCTATTTGCTGTGTTTACATTTGCATAATGTTTATTTATTCAATGTAAAATCCTGGTAAAAAAAAGCAAAACGAAATTCTTCTTTTTTTCTGGTTTATTTTCTTTTCGTCCATAGCTATTATATTGATAGATCGAAAAGAAAGAAAGGAGATTAGATTAGATTAGGTAAAAATTTTTGTCAACCGCGATATAATTTTTTTTTTGTCAGGTTATTTGTCAGTGAAGATATTTTTCTATCATTCAACCAGAATCATCTTGGCCTATTCCATTTTATTAACATACAAAATGTCCAAAAACAACAACAACAACAAAATTCAAATTGAATTTGAAACATTCTGTTCGTGTATTTGTGGGTACATGTGCATTTGGTTCATTAATTTCATTTAATAAACTTTTTTTTTTCCTGATTTTTGGATAGTTCATAGCTGTTTTTTTTTCTGTGGTGATAAAATAGAAGCTACCAATGCATTTTAGATTAATTGAGTTTACCGTTTTGTTTTGGTTGTTCGGATGGTTTGATTTGTTAGTTAAACACTGGTTATTGATAATTTAATTTTCAATCATCAAACATAATTACCGTAAAAAACTAATGCTGCCTACTGAAGAAACCCTTTTTTCCATTTCATTTATGTCTGATTTTCAAATTGACCAAGGTTTTTTTTACATTGTTTAAAAAAATTTTTCTTCTGTTTTTTCGTATGTAGATTGCCTGGCTCAAAATCGAAGCATTTGATGATGATGATGATGATGATGCGGATGGCGGTAAAAAAATTGAACCAGAATTAATTTCCATTCAAACACAATTGATAACAAAAGATCAACGTTTTCGTTTAGCAAATAATAATAAAAAACAATGGTTCCTTCATATTAAACAGGTAAAATCGACCGATAAAGGTATGAGAAAATATTATTTATTAAAAACAAATGAAAAAAACTGGATTTTTCTTTTGAAAATTCAATTCAGGATGGTATATGTGCCAGATAAATACCGAACCACTTATAAGTCAAGCTGCCTTTCTTGATATTCTCAGTAAGTGAATATTTTTTGTTTTGTTTTATTTAGTTCCATTAATTGAATGATTCTTTCCTGATTTTAATAGTTGCTCCTACCATCGATTATAATGCAACCAGTTCGGATATTAGTGTTGATGAAAGACATCGTCTTTCAATACGTTGTCATGCAAATGGTCATCCAATACCAACAATTGTTTGGCGTCGTGAAGATAATAAAGATATTAACCTTGGTCTTTATGGTGGTAAACGATATTCGGGTAATTTAATCTGTTTTTATGCATGCTTTCGCTTATGGTTGAATTTCATTCATTCATTTGTACAAATCAATTAACAATCTATTTTTCTTTTTATAATGTTCTTTTTTTTTGAAAAACAAATCATCATCAATCGTAATTTTCCTTGCTGTTGTTGTTATTTAGCGAAAAAAGTTGAAGGCGAATTTCTTAACATTACTCAAGTAACAAGAGGTTTGTTTAAATACAGAATACGTTATTTGTTTTTACTGAAATACAAATTGGTCATTGGTCGAATTATTTAATTAACCAAAACCAAAAATCCTTTTTCTTTTCTCACAGATGATATGGGTGCATATCTTTGTATAGCATCCAATTCAGTGCCTCCAAGTGTAAGCAAAAGGATTATTGTACATGTTAATTGTAAGTGATTATATTGGAAAATTGAAGAATTTTTGCTTTTTGTTGCATTTGGTGTACAAAATGATGAGCAAATGAAAATGCATTTATTTCATCAAATAAATTAATAGTTTTATATTACAAAGTCTCAATATTCTTCAATGAGATGATAACATTTTTTCAATGAATTGAATTGATTTTCATGAATTCTTCATTCAACAAACACACGTAGTGATAATTAACAAAAGATAGTAGAATTCTCGATTCTAAATTACAAATCTTTTGTGCTGAATCAGACATTTTTCTTATGCAATGAATTTTCTATTCATTCATTCGAATGAAAATTGAACAGAGAAAAAAAACTGAGAAGAAACATTCTTCAACTTATTTGAATGTGATAAAAATCTTTTTGCATGATGATGATGATTGGTATCTTGGTAAAAAAAAAGAAAGAATTTTCGCATTCATTCGACATAAACAAAGAATTTCAAGATTCTTCTTGTTGAAAAAAAAAGAATTTCACCGAAATCAATGTTTGAGTGTAGTGATGAACATCGATTAATATATATCGATTTAATCGATATTCGGTTCACGGTTCATGTTCGATATGATGATATATGTTTAGAGATAATTTCATCAAAATGTTGTCATAAACCAACGTGAGGAAGTTTTTTTGGCTTTGTTTCAAGCTTGTGGAGATTTTTTTTCAACATTAAATTTAATCAACATTTGTTTTTCTCATTTATACTGATGATTATCAAAAAGGTTGTACTTTTTATCAATCGATCTATCGATTGAATTGAATTGAATTTCCTGGCAGGATATCAATTTTTTTTCCTATTGAAAAATTATCACTACTGTTTCAAGTACAATATTTATATTTTTATCGTGTTTGAATCGGAAAAAAAAATATTCAATTTATAAATTCAATTGAATTTTTTCTTTTTTTGGATATTTGACAATCCGAAAATATTGCTTGTCATTGATTTAATTTTCTTTTGTTTTGTTTTTTTATAGTTCGACCAAAAATCAAAGTATCCAATCAATTGGTTGGATCAACAATCGGTAGTGATGTACAATTGGAATGTCGTTGTGAAGCATCACCACAACCTATTACATCATGGATTCGTTATGATGGACAAGTTATACCAAAATCATTATCAAAATATAAAATGAATGAAGAACATGAATCATATCGTACGAAAATGAAATTACGGATATTCAATTTGGATGAAAAAGATTTTGGTAGCTATAAATGTGTTGCGAAGAATGTATTAGGTGAAAAAGAAGGTCTTGTACGATTATATGGTAAGCAAATGACATTAACACATTTTGTTATTGAAATCGCGTGTCTAAAAAAAATATTTTTCATTATCAAAAAACTTTTATCTTTATTTTTGTTTTTGTATGAAAAAAATAGAAATTGCACCACCATCAACACCATATATGTTATCATCATGGCCAACATATATCTATACATATCAAGGACGACAACAGAATCAATTGCAAAATTATCATCAATCAAATAATTTTACCAATAATAATAATAATATGATGGGTGATAAAAATTATGATTATAATGATTATCAACATCAACCATCATCATCATCATCATCTGCATCTTCATCTTCATCTTCGGGAATGACAATGATGGAAAAACCAATGATTGTTATTACAATCTTATGTTGTTTATTGCGGAAAATCCTTTATTATTAATTTCAACAACAAAATAATTATCGAAAACAATACATCACTGTAAATAAATTTGTCAACATCTTTGTACATAATAATAACAATAAACTTTTAAATTTGTAATTTGTAATTAATAAAAAGATTAATAATAAAACATACAAGTGATTTCAGTTATTTTCAGATTCAGAAAACAAACACACACACAATTCATTAATCAATTTTATTCATTTTGATAAGTTAAAAAAAAAGAAATTTCTTTGTTTATTTATTTGCTAAAATCTAATCAAATCAATCAATAATAAAATGTTAAATGTCGAAATGTAATTCAGTTCAATTGGATCGTTTAATTTTTCTTGTCGAATAATATTGATCAACAACTTTTTCATCCAAATCATAACGTTTAAAACATTTTTCAAATTTTTCAAGATTATCCGGTATATTTGCTTTATCTTTTTTACCATTCAATGATATTGGTAGATTTTCTTCATCCATATATTCCAATATTTGTTGTCGTTTAATGTAGCTTAATTTTTCACGAATTTTTTGTCCCATAAAACCGACAATTATTTTCATAATAGGATTCAATAACCATGGTAAATCGACTACAAAAAATTGTTTCAAACTTCCGGGATATAATTCAATGATACTTAATTTAAATTTAGTAAGATCCAAATTGATATTTGAAACACCAGCACCATTTGTATCCATTAATAAAATGAAACCATTTTCACCGGCCATACGATCAATACGTTCAAGATTATGTGCAACATATTGTCGATAAAGTAGTGTTAATTCTTTTAAATGATATTGATTACGAAATATTTCCAATTGTACATAACGTCCTTGTTTATCACGGCCAAGAAATTCAGTTGAATCATAAAATTCTAATGGAAAATATTGATCATTACGATCATGTATACCGAATTCATTTTTCCATTGTAATGATTTTTTCATCAATTCAAATGCTTGATTTTCATCATTATCAAATTCTTCAAGATAACGTTTTACTTGCCATTCTTCTGTTCGTACACGTTCAACATCAATCGGATGATATAATGATGGATTTTTATCCACTTCTTCATTAAAACGTGAACGTAATGATTCAATCGATGCCATAATTGATTGATTAATTTGTAAAATTTTGTCGATTTTAAAACACGGAACAAAAATAAATAAATGAAAAATTTGTTTGTTTTGAATTTTGTGGTAGCCGGATGAAACAGTGTTGTTGTATCAATTACTTTTGAAAATAAAATGAATGAAAATTTTCATTGAAATGATATTGTTTTTATATATGTAGTGTGACACACGCAAATAAACTTCAGTTCAATTTGTAAAAGATTAACATATTAATGATGACAGTTGAAAGTTATCTTGTTTTTTTCTGCGTTCACTCCCTTAGTAATTGCGTTTTTCTCGTTCGTTCTGTATATTCGTGGCCATTTTTTCCATTTTCATTAACATTTGATGATTAGCTGATTTGATAAAAAAAATTGTTTTTAATCATGATTTTTCATCAATCAAGGCGAAAGTGATGAAAAAAAATTTCGATGAAAGAGAGAAAAATTGAATGAAAAAACACATTAACAACATGATCATTTTGATGTATTTTTAAATTAATTTAAAGTTTTTAATGTATTTTTGCTTAGGTATATTTGACAAATTTACACCGAAAAAAATGATTTGAATATTTAATCGATTATTTTGGGAGATTTTTATTTTGGGAAAATTTATGATTTTAATGATTTTAGTTTTGTGTTAATTTTATTTCTGGAAAAATTGAATTTCAACATGTACAATTTCGATTCAAAAACATTTTTTCCTGAAAACGGAAAAAAATTTCATTTTATTCTACAAAAAAAGACTAGACATATGGCTTGAATCTAAGAACAAAGTGGATGAAAACAATGAAAATTGAATAAAATATGAAATCGAAAAGGAAAACAAATTTTTGTTTAGTAATTTAGGAATCGATTCAACGAAATCAAATCATAATAATCCGATTTTGATTCTGGTTTTGACCGTATTTTGATTGAAATTCGATGGGTAATTAATATGTTGATTATTATTATTATTATTATAATGATGATGATGACCAATGAAATGATTGAAATGAAATGAATTGCATTCGAAATATAATTGTATTCGATGATTATAAATCATATATTTATATTCGTATCGTTATTGTTGGTTAGAAACGATACCTGAATGCATAAGCAGATGCCATAAAAAGTATTGCAGCAATAAGATCCAATAATGCTGAAACATTATAATGATTATTACGTTTTTTTGATATTGCCAGTAATGTTTTTTCAAATTCATCTTTTTTTACAGTCATATTATCAAATAGTTGATTATTACGTTCATAATAACGACCAATTTTACATTCATGATTCCATGTTTGATATGATTGATATATTAATAATGTTGATAGTGCCAATAATGTAATAACAATCTATTTTTTTTGTGTTTGAAAATAAATGAAAAATGAAAAATTTTCCATATTATTGAATAAAATGGAAAAATTTCAGATCAACATATTGATAAAAAACAACACTTACCAGATAGAAACTAAATTTTGAATGATATAAACGGCTAGCAATATTACAAAAACTTAATAAAAATATTAATATTCCGGATACAAATGCAACAGCTAAACTGATTTGTATTTCCATTGTTGCTACTTGTTTACATCCGCTTGTAAATAATGAAAAATATGATGCCAATAATAGAAGCTTTTTGTTTGTGAAAAAACAAAACAAAACAAAAAAAAATGAATATCGTTTCATTTACATAATTAAACAAGTCAATGGAATGTTTAAGGTGGTAAAAAAGAAAACAAGAATATTATGGCATAAATCCTTAATTTAATAAGATGACTTACCGATGCCCAAAGGGTAAACACTCCATAATAGTTGACTGTTTTTTTACGATCATCATAGGTAGGCATTTTGTTGATATTTTGTCCAGAATTTGCTGACAATTTGATGTATAAAGAATGAAAACAAAAATTATGCAAAAGAAACAAATTGGCTTTCGAAAATATTCGATGAAATGGATAATAAAAAAAAAACAAAAGAATCGGTTATGAAATAAATTTTTATCGTTATCAATTCAAAATTGAATAATTATGGTGAATGAACTTGTTTTTGATCAACAAAATAGAATGTATACACTATCGATGGATGGATGTTTGATTAACGAATGTCGAATCTACATAGACAAATCCAAATGAAATCCAAAAATTGTCTGTAATGTAGCCGCATCGTTGAACGATGTAAAATGATCATCAATTACTGTTACTTAGAATAATACTACTACTACTAATGAAATTGAAAAAATATAAAATTAAAAAAAAATCAGGTATTTTTAGCAACAATAGCTAAATAAAGGAAATTTTGAAAACGAAATGAAACTTGAAAATCAAACAAACAAACAAACAAACAAAAAAACAGTGGCGGCAGTGGCCGGCCATAGCATAATATTCACATTGACATTGATCAGTTTCATGACGACAATGAACGTTGTTGTTATTTGAAGTTTTATGCTATGAATAAAAATGTATCGTTTGTTTAATCGATAGGAAGAAGAAAAAAGTGAAAAAAATCCAAAAGTGAAAGTGGTCAGGTGAGTTTAAATGATTTTTTGTTCAAGAAAAAAAAAATATGAAAAGAGAAATATGATGAGTAATAATAGTGCTATCATATAATTGATGCAATGTTGTTTTGTTTGGTCAAACATTTTTTTTAAAATCATTGCTATATATGAAAGTCCACGAACAAGGTTTTTCCTATTCGTTATTTTTTTTCACACACACAATGCTATTGATGGATCATGGTGCAGAATGAAGAAAGAAACGAAAGAAACGAAAAAAACATTGGCCATCAATGCAAATGTGTACGAGCGATGCCATTGTCAATTTTCTTTCATTTTTTTATTTAATGAATTTGATCTTGTCAATTTTTTTGTTTGTTTGTTTGTTTGTTTTCGTCTTTGTAGTCGTTTGAATTCGTGTTACATTCAATTACATTTATTACAATCTGGAACGAAATATATTATGAATAATAATAAAAAATGGAAAGTAAAGGAAAGACAATGAACAATGAAGGCTACCTGATTGAATATTATGACGGAAGAAATTGTTTTTTAGGAAGAGAACGAACGAAAGAGAAAGAGAATTTGACATTGTAATCTTCAAGGTTCAAAGGTTTTCTCTTTCTTTTTTTGTTTGTTTGTTTTGGTCATTCATGTAGATTCAAGAAAAATTCAATACAAATTGGATGTCAATGTTGATATTTTATTTTTGCTGTTGCTGTTGTTGAAACATTTGAAAAAAAGAAAAATCTAAATCTTTTCAGGATTTTGAACTTTTAAATGACAATGATAGTTATTTTTAGCGGTCAGTATATGATTCTAAACTAATTAGACTACTAATCAGATTCATACTTATAATAATAATAATCAAATGAAATAAATCGACATTGAATAAAAAGTTAAATTTCATTCTTTTGTTTTACAAACGTTTTTTTTATTTTCATTTGTTAGAAACGAAAAACAATATTTGGAGGATGAAAATAAATCTCATAATTAGACATAATGGATATAATAATTATCTTCATCATCTCTATTATTATCATCATTATCCTTAGACATAATAGCTTAAAGTTGCGAACGAAACGAAATTTCATTTTTTCTTGAAGAGTTTTTTTCCAAGATTTGAAAATTTTGAAAAAAATAAATTCAAACAAATCGCATACAACGCCATCCAATGATTAGAATCCAAAATGAGCTATCGATGATCGAAAACAATCGATTGTTTTGTGTGTGTGTGTGTGTGTTTTGTGTTTGCGGCATCCATAAAATAGATATTTACACCGTGTTCTCTGTGTGAGTGTTGTATGTTGGTGTGTGTGTGCATGGATTTCATTTTATTTTCTTCTATTTTGTGTGCATGAGTGGCAGATTTTTTTTTTCTCATCGCCCTGCATGCCAAGTGAGCATATTGTTGTTTTATTTTTTTTTTCTGGCCATTTTTACAATTTATTCTCTTCCCCAGGAAAAATATACGCATCACATAATCTCATCATCAATAGATTTTTTTTCGATTTTTCTTTCTTTCTTTTTTTTGAGTAAAAAATTCATTGATTTTTTTTACAGGTTATTATAATTAGATTGCCAAATTTTTCATCAACAACAATCTTTTAATTAGTTTTCACCAACAAAGAAAATTATCGAACAAACAAAAACAAAAAAAAAACATAAATCATAAAACAATGGATATGTATTCGAATTTTTATCCACAAGCAGCAACGATTCATCATATGAATCCGGTACCGATACAGGGTGGTTATCCTGCTACAAATGGTTATGGTGTTCCGACACGTGTACCACCGCCACCGAATTCCAATCAACGACGTATGGATAATCGACAAAATTTTCCATCCGATCAAAATTCATCAAAAACATTATGGATGGGAAATGTATGTTTTTTTTTGTTGATATTGATTTTTTTAAAAAAATAAATATTTTCTTCAGATTGATGGTTCAATGGATGAAAATTTGATTCAAGAAGCCTTTAATTTGCTTGGTATCAATGTACACAATATTAAAATAATTCGAAACAAGGATAGTGGGTATGTGTTTTTTTTGCCATGTGCTCAGTTGTGAAAGCCATCTCTCAAATTCTGATTTCGATTTCGAAAGTTGAAAAAATAACATTTTTCTATCTTATTTTTTACATTAGATTACCACTTGGTTATGGTTTTGTTTCATTTGATGATCGTAGTACGGCTCAAGATGTACTTCGTGAGCTGAATGGAAAGAAGATGCCAAATGTTGAAGAAGTATAAACATTTGTTTAAAATTATTATATTTTCTATTTCTAAATTATTTGCTTGTTTCGAATAGGACAAACGATTCTTTCTGAAACGAGCTAATCGTAGTGGACGCTATTCCGTATTTGTTGGTAATCTTCCTCCACAAATTGATAATGACGTATTGTTGAATGCATTCTCTGCTTATTATCCATCTGTTTCTTCGGCTAAAGGTATTTTGTTGAATTTTGTTAAATTATGGGAATAATTTTTAATTTTTGTTTTCTCATCTATTAGTTATCATGAATGATGGTATTAGTAAAGGATTTGGTTTCGTTTCATTTGATGATGAAAATGATTATTATCAAGCATTGAGTCAACAATCAATGATGCTTGGTGCGCAACCAATTTCGGTTAGTAAAGCTAGACATAATAATAATCAAGGTGGTATTGGTAGCGGTGGTAGTGTTGGAGGTGGTTTAGGAAATCGTAGTCGTTTCCCACCATCACAACGGGATCAATCATTCAACAACAATCGTAATGATTCTCAACAATTTCGTCCACAAAATTATTAATTGTGAGAAAATGATTGATGAAAATGATAAAGAAAAAATTTTAAAGTTCAACACACCAACCAAAACATTCATTATCAACTCAATGTAACGAACATCATCATCATCATCATCATCACCAGAAGAAGCAAAAAAAAATTATAATGATATTCTTTAATCCCAAATCCATCATTCATTCATCGTTGATCTCAATTCTGATCTGATGAAGAAATTGTAAAGAGATTTTTTTTTTAAATTAGTAACAAAAATTTAACATTATATACACGAAAAGAAAAGATTGTGGACGACGCACACCAAATAATCTAATTAATAAATAATATCGATAAAGATGATGATGATGATGATGATGAAAAATACATTCTGGACACACACACACACACACCTTTGATGTTTCCCTTGCATCGGTGGTGCAGTGGCAACCCATTCACAGGACACACACACACCAAAACACCCACACAACATACATTTTTAAACATCGTTCAAATATATTTAATATTATCCTTTATAAGTGTAAGTTAACAACAATTTATCAGCCATACATATTACAACTTTTATATACTTATAATTAACCCAAACTTACACTTACACACCCAACACCTTCATACATATTACTACTATTCATATATGCAAATATAAATTTTTTTTCTCTCTCTTCAATTATATCCTCTCTATATTACAATTATCCTTCGTTCTTACATTATTATACAATTGATTGATACAACACACACACACACACACACACATACAATAATAATAATAATGATTTTGATTGATTAATTGATTGATTGATTTTTTTCTTTCTTTTTTTCATATAATACCTTTCATTCTTAATCTTTTTTTTATTATTATTATTGTCTTCAGATGTTTTTTTTTCTTTTCACTTTTTTTCTCTGTCATAATGATGATTATAATCTCCAATATAAAACAAACTGAATTAATAATTAGAATAAATGAATATCGTTCGTTTTTTTATATAAAAAAAAGTAATGTTTTTTTTAAATCTTGGTTAAACTATGGTTTAACCTTGATTTTTTTTTTGTTTAGAAATGAAAATTTTGTTTTTTTCTGGACCATCACCAAGGTGAAATTTGATGATTGTTTTTTTCCATTTTTGTGTTTGTGTGATGATTAATTTTCAAAATGTATTGTTTATCTAGGTAAACATTAAGTATCTATTACTACAGAATAAAAAAATGCTACTGCATATGGATTAACCATGTTCGCACAATGTTCGGATTGATTTGCAAAACCCCTGACCAAACTAATTAATATTTTAAAAACATTTTGTTCGAATGAATCGTTTCCTATTTGTAATTATTATTATTATTATTATTTTGATAAATGATCATTATCATTCAGGTAAATAAATTCTGTTCTATGGTTTTTTTGTTTTTTGTTTTTGGTGAAAACAATTTCAATAATGGCACTATCATTATAGCTATGACCATGATCATTACAATGTTTGTATTGTTTTACCTGTGACAACAAAGTTTTCAACGGTTAATTCTTGTCCCTATTTTTATTATAATAATCATTACCTTTAGTAGAAAAAAAACAACAACAAAAACAATGAAAATTCATATGATAATTATTTACACTATGCATAATGCAAAAAAGTTAAAGTAACTATAGTGCAATCGTTGACAATTTTTTTTTGCTGAGAACCATCGAAATATAAATAAGTTTCCATTTCAAATAAAAGTTTCATTTTGAATTTCATTCCCGTTCCGTCGGTATTGGTTGTAATCTATTGTTTCTCTATTCTTTGTTGTTGTTTATTTACAAAAAATCAATCATCATGAATTCCTCATCATCATCATTATTATTCATCAATTCGAATATTTTCATCATATCGATTGTATTCATATTGTTCACTTCAAATATTGATGCTATAATTACTAATCTTAGTCAACAACAATTAGGTAAATTAGAACAATGTTCAAATGAAACATATGTTTGTGTAAAAAATTCAATGGATGAACAGGAAATCTATTGCTGTTGTAATCATAAATGGACAAATTGTCGACGAAAATTATCATGCGAAGATATTGTTAGTACATCAACAACCGAATCACGTTATCAGGATGATTGTCGTTTTCTTTCCACATATGAACGTTATTTTAAACGACCAAAAACAAAAAATTGTACAATATTACCGGATTTACAATGTAATGGTAGCCAAAAAATTATGGCATCATTTATTGGTAATGGTTATAATCTATTACAATTTTCATTGATAATAATCGTTATTACCATTTTTATCAATCATTCATCAGTAACAGCATCTGTAATCTTTTAAATCATTTAATCAAGAGAAAAAAAATGCTAGATTTTTCTCTATTGTTTAGTGCAATATTCAATTTCCATTGAAAAAAAAACATTTATCAATTATAAACGAAATAATGTAAATTTGATTATTAGATTTTATTAAAATTTAAAATTTCACACACACACTCACACACAATAAAAATGAATTTTATCACCTTAATCGTTAAATATTGTCAACAGAATCATAAAATTATTATTGTTACTAATTATGAAATCATACGATTTTTCCTCTTTTTCCTTTTTTCTTGTTTTTTGCATCACATTATTTTTGTTGTTTCATCATTACGGACGGTTTTTTCTTTGATTTGTTTTGTTTGTTTGATGCATGCATGCATGTCTATTTAGTTACCACCACCAACAATATCCTTAAATGATAATAAAAAAACAATTTTGTTTTTTGACATCCACAAAAAGAAAAATAATAATAAATTTATGACTTTGTTGTTTTTTCGTATGTTGTTTGTTACCTATTCATTCAAATTCTTTATCCAAATTTGGAAATTTATGCGAAACAAAAAAATTTATCTTTATAATCTTAAAGGTATCATTTTGGGATTATCAAATGTCGATCACATGTTTGTTTATGGCAATGTTGTGTATTTATGATTTTGTTCGAAAAATTTGTACTTGTTTTTTGGTTGATAAAGGATATCTAAGTGTAAATATATTTTTCCGAAAATATTAAAGAAAATGATGGCTATAAAAGTATTATTTCTATAAGGGTAAATCCTCAAAGAAATCTATTCTACAAAACCTTTGTCATATGAGACATTTAGACGACAATCAACGCAACAATAAAATTAAAATTAAAAAAAATTTGATATAAAAAGACCAGATTTACATCCAAAATACCTTATTCTCATTTGATAATTTTCCCTGATTATAATATCAATATCAAGTGTGAAACAAAACAAAACAAAACAAAAAAAAATGACAATGAATTTTTCCAAACAAATTATCGTTTGTGTAATATTTGTATTCATTCAAACTAGTAAGTGAATTTTGTTTGTTATTTTGTTTGAAAATTATTAATCCTTCATTTTTTCATTTTTACCATCATTATTTGTTTTAGTCGCTGCCCGTGATAATGAATGGACTTGTCGTAATAGAAAATGTTATACATTAGTACGTAATCATCAAGGTGCATATTCGGATAGTGATCGATATTGTGGTCAATTACGTGGACGTGCAGTGACTATCTATTCACAGGATGAACAAAAATTTCTTGAAAACTATCTTCGTAATATTCGTTATGGAAAAAGTGTATGGATTGGTGGCATTCGAGAAAATACCAAATTTGCCTGGCGTAATGATGAAGTTTTAATTGAAGGTGATACCTATGCTAATTGGGCTTCCGAACATCCAACAATGAATTTTGCTAAAGCTTGTATGCAAATGAATGGTATGAATCAAACCGAACCAGGAAAATGGGTTGAAAATTTTTGTTTCGCTTCGAATGGTATTCTTTGTGAACGATTTGAAAAAGATGATAATAACAATGATAATGATAATGATGATGACGATGACGACGATGATGATGATGATGATGATCGTGAAAATGATCATAACAATAACAACAACAACAATAATAATCAATGCTGTAAACGACTTGAAAGTGAAATGAAAAAAATTCGTGAAAATATGGAAAAAAAATTTAAAAAAATGGACAAAATGAACGATCGTATGGATGATATGAATGATCAAATGAAAAAAATAAGTGAACAGATGAAAGAATTTTCGGATAAAATCAAACGATTCGAACATTCAATGGAATTATTGAATGTTAAAGATATTGAACGAAATTTTACCGGTATTGCATCCGTATTAGAATATTATTCTGAACAATTACATACGATTCGAAATGAATTAGATAATCGTCCAACAACCGATGTTGATTTGAATATTATTAAACGTGAAATTATTGATTATTTTCAACAACAATTAGAAGAAAAAAATCTAAATGATATTGTTAATGATATTAAATTATCATATGTTAATTTCCGTCGTGCATTGATGGTTAAAAAAGGTGGACGTTGGTCAACACTTGGCTATGTTTGAATGGAATTATATTTAAAAAAATCTCATTTGAAAAAAAATGAAATAAAATAAAATAAAATAATATTTCTAATCAAGAATAATAGATGGCGTTTCATTTAGTTTTTTGTTTCCATTGCAAAAATATTCTTATTTTTTTGCAATGAATTTTCCAATTAAATCATGATTTTGGAAAATTTTCAAAAGTGAGGATTTTGTTTGTTCAGAATTTAAATTCAATTTTGTTTTTGGATTTTTTGCTGTATCGGTTTTTTTTCACTTGGTTAAAATTTATTGGCCAAATCTTATGGTTAGGAAAGAAAAAGATTGTGCATCATCAATGGCTGATGTCCGGAATTTTTGTTTTCTGCTGACTCGTAATAAAAAAGAAAAAATCAAATCATTTTTTTTTCATCGTGACCACGACCAAAGCCAATTCGGTTTATTTTTTTTTCGGAGAGTGAGTATATATGTGTGTATAGACAATTTTCTGTTTTGGAGAAAATCTTATTTATTCTTTTTATTTACAACAGAACAGAACAACAACGATTGAGATGTTGGAAAAAAATTTGCTAAGTCAATGACTAAATGAGTTCGATTTTTCCGATGATTATTCATTGTTCATCACCGCTTTGGCAATTCCGTATTCCATTCATTCATTCATTCAATCCATTCATCCATCCATGATATAATGATGCTTTTTTTTGGATGATAATTTTTTCGATTAATGAATAATAATCGATTGTTGAGATTTTATCATCAAACATCAAACGACGACAACAACAACAACAACAATAAACAAACTTGATATATGCAAATCATGTTTAATTTCTTCTTCTTCTTCTTCTGCTTTTTTTTTCTTGCAATCGTTCATTCTATCCATCTAACTGCCACTAATCAAAAACAATTGCCCTAAATCGTTCGAATGGAAAATGAAAATGAAAAAATTTCGAAAGTGAAAATATATATAAAATTCTAGGCCGGATTCAAACCGAATTTTTACATAGTGAAAAGACTTTCTATTTTGGATGGAATAATTAATGAGAATGAATATATATCGAATTATCGGGCGATAGAAGAAGAAGAGAACAGTAACTTCAATAAAACTAAACCGAACTGAAGAGAGCTTGAGAAGATGAACGAGAATAGAGTGAAGAAGAAAAAAACTTTGATCTCGTTTATCATAATTTCCAGAAGAAGAATCGAAACATTCAATCATAAATTTATGATGATCATATGATTATGTTGATGTTGATGTTGAAAATGAATTATCAATCTCCGGATATGAAAACAACAACAACAACAACAATACGAAAAGAAAGGAAAAATTGCTCATTGCCCTTTGTTGTTTTTCAAGAATTCATTTGGTTATTGTTTTGAATTTAGAACAACAACAACAACAACAAAAAACAAAGTTGGAAAAAAATTTTCAAACCTAAAATGCCGGGAATGATAATGATGAAATTTTTTTTATTTTTTCTTTCGAAATATATATTCAGGCCGTAAATCTTTTTCTCATTTTTTTCTTTTGCATTTCAGTTTCTCTTATTGTAAAAAAAAGAAAATAAATTGAAAAGTTTGATAAGTGAAAAAGAAACGAAACGAATAAACACGGAAATTTGTACGATTTTTTTTTATTAATAAAAAAGTTTATTCGAAAATTTTTTCTTTTCTCTTCCTCTCATCTTCTATTTTACTCGGTCGAATATTCTATACACAAACACAATGACTATCTGATTGACAGCCAGCGAAAAAAACAACAACAACAACAATACCGGATTCTGAATCTGTTTCTGAAAATTTATTAATTTCCATTGATTTAAGAAAAGAAAGAAACAAAAAAGAAAGAAGAAAAAATTCAATGTCAAAATGTGTTTTTATCAACATCAATGATAATCAATGAAAATCATTCATTACCCAATAATGATATTGATTATGTTTTCCAATGACAATTCAAACTATTGTTATATTTACTATTGTCAATATGTCACCTTTTTTTTTTGCTGTGTGATTGGATATAATATTTACAGGCATAGTAGTGATATTGATGATTATTTTTTTTGTTTGTTTGTTTGTATCGATCCAATTTTTCGTTGTTGTTTGGATCGAATTGATCCAGAAACGAATTGTGTGTGTGTGTTTGATAATCAATCGATTTGATCTTTTTTATTATGATACACACACACATGAATGAATGATCCATGGCGGGTCAATTGGATTTTTTTTCCTCTGTTGTTGTTGTTGCTCGCGCTTTTCTTTTCAAAACTTTTGGCCTTTTCTTTTTTCTTTGTATTTGCTGGCTGTAAACAATCAGTTGGATGGTAAAAGTAAGTCCCGAGTGATTCTGTCGTCGTTCGTTCGTTTGTTCGTTTATGTTCGTTCGTTCATTGTTAATTGACAATTTGTCACCGATAGTGAAAATATCGAAATACGAAAAAAAAAGTCAAATGTCCGAAGAATGTTATATATAAAGGAAAAGCAAAAGCAAAGGGAAAAAATAGAGATTTTTTTTTTATATATTTTTTAATTAAAATTGATCTTCTGATGTCCTAATCTCAACACACACACATAATTTATCATCGATCTTTCTTTTTTTTCTAATACTATCGATTCATTTTGACTATGAAGAATCTAATTTTTTTTCACCAATTTTCTCCATTTTCTGTGTGTGTGTGTGTGTGTGCCTAAATACTGTATCAATCTTTTTTTTCTTTTCGATTTTTTTTTTGTTCATTGAATTGAATTGAATTGAATTGAATTGACACAATCAATATATATAATCGGTTGTCGATAAAAAAATAATTGATTATGGATAAGAAAATAACGTTATTTGGTTTTGCACGAAACGAAAAAACGAAATTCCACCTTGACATTTCGTTGATTGAATGGATGAGAATCGTTTTTTTTTTGTCGAAAACAGCAGACAAAAGAAAAAACTTTTTGTTTTTCACCCGTTTGATATGTACCCACACACACACAAACATTGATTCTTTGTTTGTAAATCAAATTTAATTATATTCAAAATTCAAAATTATATAATGTGTTTTATTTAAATATACAGAATATTCATCAAGCAAAATAATAATAATAATTTTTTTTTTATAAAAAAAGTAAAATTTTTGAGCTGATTATCGCTTCTGAAACAGCCTCTGTGCATGATGATTGAATCGTTTTGTTTCATAAGTAATAATCAATCATATTTATATCAGTTGTCTCATCTAAAGCAGTAAAATGTTTCAAAGTGAAAGAAAGATCAGGAAAGATTGAATGGGTTTAAGAATTCATTCTCGATTCTTCGTTTTCTAATTTTCGTTTCCGGATTTTTAATTTGATGATTGTTTGAGGACCGATGAGATTGAGATCATTTTTTTCCATTTTACAATTTCCACATTTTTTTAAACTTCTTGCTCATATTGAATTGGCAATTTTAGCCCCACATACATCTTTTTTTATTATTAATATTTCAACAATAATTTCATTTATTGAGGAAATATTGAATCAGGAACTGAATGTGCCAAAATCATAAGTGGACAATTTTGATTTTGAGTTTAAACGGTTTAAAACCAATCAATTAGTAGAAATGATATTTTTATCAAGTTTTTTTGTTCGAATTTATATCAAAAATTCGATCAAAAAAAAAATTCGAAAATGGCTCACCGCTGTTCTACAAGTTCGAATTTTCATATACAAAGGTACTTCCTTTATGTGAAATTTATCATTTATCTATTTCTACGAATCGATCCTCTTCTTATAGAAATGGTGTCAGAAAAAATTCGAATGTTTAGAAATTAAGGTATCTGTATAACTTACATAATATTTTAGTTCGAAAAGAACTTTTTTTTTTTGTAAAATAAAGTATAAATAAGATAGAAATTAGTTCATTTCGTTTGCTGTTTGCTCAATTGTTATTTTAGCTTTTTTACGAAATGCGTCTATGAGATTTTCGAGAATATTAGATTTTTCGATTTTTGATGTTCAATTTTTTTATCTGTATTTTTAAACTCATTATTATTCATTTTGTAAAATATTCATCAATCAATATTTATGTCCCATCTTACGACAAAACAGCGTGCAATAATTGCATCAAGATACGAAGTCTTCAAATTAAATGGTACAAAGATGGTGGCGTCAGACATACAATATTCATAAAGTGCTGAGAAACGAGCTCCAGTACCGGACCTGGAAACCTCATTACGTGCAAGAATTAAAGCACGAGGATTGCGACCGGATAATGGCTTTTGCTCGAGGAGAAATATCGTGAAGGTGCGCCGGATATTTGACGCGGATCCTCAAAAATCAGTCCGAAAAGCCGCGTTGGAATCCGGCCTATCCACCTACACCATCCACAAGGTATGCCTTTTATGGCAAGGTGTTGATTTAAAATTAAATAAATAATCATTCATAAGGTGCTAAGAAAAGAGCTCCAGTACCGGCCATGGAAGCCTCATTACGTGCAGGAATTGAAGCACGAGGATTGCTACTGGAGGATGGCTTATTCCGAACACATGCTGCAATGGCTGGGGGAAGCTCCGGAGCTACTCGATAAAATAATATGGTCGGATGAAGCCATCTTTCATGTAGGTGGATTCGTGAATAGGCATAATTGCCATTATTGGGGACCATGCAGCTCTGAAGCTACAAAGGAACAATTTCAAGAATTTTTTCAGGGGCTATATGACAAAACTATAAAGCCTACAAGCACATAACTTTTTATTTGTTGCGTAAAACGATAAACAGCAGTCGTTACCTGTGAATGCTTAAAAATTATATCATGCAAAAAATGTCAATCAACATCTTCGGATGATTTAATCTTTTGGCAAGATGGTTCTTCCCAACATCAAAATTGGCTAACATTTCCCAGAAATTACCTTTACCAACTCAAATTTTTTCGATAATGTTACAATTTTTTTCCCATAATAATTGTATTGCTTTTATTACAATAATAACTTGAAATTGATTAAAATTTTTTTTATTTTACAAATAATTTTTACAATAATTGTTACATCATTAGGACTGATGATTATTATCATTCATT